TTATTTACTTTGAAATTTGTTTACTGCTATAAATCTGTTCGATGCAAACATCAAAATCGAGTTTTAGGTTGCACTTTATTCCTGCACGAACCGCTTACAGAAATTAGAAGTAGTCTCTTCTCTTCTACAGCATTGTTGTTTTCAGCCGACTACGCCTGAGTAGAATGGACAATATTGTCGAAGAAAAATAGCGAGAAAAAAGTGATACAAACATCTGTATCTCGTTAAAATATAATCAATAAATGATAATTGTTTGATAATAGTGTGATAATGGGTATCTCGATTGAAATCATCGTGTTTTTTTTTTATTATTTTTTGAAAATTCTTTCGAATCTTTTGTTTCAAGTTAGATTTATAATTATAATGTTCCAACATGTTTGTAAGTTCAAATCTTAGTTACAGTACAGTTCATTTCATATATTAGAAGAAAGTAAGTCGATGATGTCGATCGCGTTAACGCATGTCTGTTCTTTTATCACTGACCTATGATTATACCTTAAACGTTTTCCTATCCTAAAATCCTTAATCGATCTACACTTACAAATTTTTGTTATATTTCGCATTTCACGTTAATATCTTTTCATATTGTATATGATCTCAGGATATATAATCTTCCGACTCTTATATTTTCCATTTTTTCTATTATTTACAAAACAAGAGTGACTTTTGAAGTGTTAGAAATTTAGTTTACAAAATTCAAGAGTTTTATACTAAGGACAAGCGTCTCAGAAATTGTTTCTCCCAGTCTTAATATTTCTGTGTTAAGTGTCTGCATAATTACTTTGCATAGTCGATCTACAATTTTTGAGTCTACAATGAAAATAATTTTGTAAACCTTAAGTTGTTTTTATTTAAATCATACACAATATGTTACGCAATGCGAGGTCCCGGAATGAAACGGATAATAAATGCTGAAATTTAAGGGGACTAGGCAGTCAGATTTGGTAAAAATGTAACGTTTTTTGGGAATTTATTACAAGGATATGAATTAAAATTGCAACTTGTACTTTTAGATAATACTTATTAGTACTATAAAGCGTAAAAAAAATTTTTTTTAATAATATATACATGTACATAACAATGCTACTGTCGACCAGTGTGTTATTATGTGCATTATGCGTGAATCCGCTGCGGTTTTGCAATGATCCTTGCCGTAAAACATAGAATTATGAAATGTTTTTTGTGAAATTCTCCCTCTATGGGTCCCCATTCTGCGCTGAACCTATTGGAAAGAAAAAAAAATTCAAGATTGTAAAAATGGCAGCTGTAAAGCGGGAAAAACGTAATTTTTTATTAAGAAACAGAGCTATTTTATTTTATTTTTGTCAGAACAAGAGTTTTTATGAACTTATACATAGGTTCAGCCCTTAACTAGGCATGTTTTACATTTGCTCAATTTTTTTCAAATCGATTTGAACCTCCGTTTTTTCGCAATCGTTGCAAAATGAAGAGAAAATATGATTTCGAGAAAAACGCGTTTAAAGTTCCGAAAGAGTTTTGAGTACAATAACTACTACATACCTCGCTTAAAAATTTCCAGTAGCGTAATTAGATGTCTCTAAAGCTTCATCGATATCAGCCTGTTGCTGTTCAGCAATTATTCTGTTAATTCGGCTCTCTTTAGGTCTTTTTGCGTCGACTTCAGCATCGTGCAACCGCCGTTCGTCCTCCTCTGCGCTCTCCAACTTGTATATCCAATTGAGCTATTAATGATAGCAATCGTTTTAGGCTATTATTAAATATGCAAACTGATAAATAGGTTGCTATCTCAACAATTTCTGTTCCGCTGAATCCTGTTTTTGGAGCTATTTTCCAGATTAGGTTATTATAACTTTCGTTTGCATTCTGTGTGTATCCTTTTTTTCTTTTTTTGTTGATGCGGGGGAAATCTTCCAAAGACACCCCGCCTCCCCTGGGGGAGGGAGGCGGGGTAGTGTGGGATTCCTACCCACTAAAACTCCCCCGGTGATCCTCGTCGGGCGCGCTGGGGAGGGCCGTGGAAACTTTGTATGACTTCCGCAGCCCTCCCCGCGCCAGTTCGCGTATGTTGTTTCCGTTTCGTTCCCCAGAGTTCGGATCAGCCGGTACGTATGTGACCTTTTAGCTTTGATCTACTTTCACTGTCTGCCTATTTCTTTCTTATCTCTTATCAGATTATTAATTGTCTTTTCGTATTTAATGATACAGATACCCGCTGTACCGACGCCGCGTGTTTCTGAACCACCTCGCTAGATGGCTCCGGAGGTATCATAAGCCGGCGTATATTTTCAATCGCACTCACGAGATGGCGCCTACTACCCCGTTTCTGCGCATAATTCCTCGGAATTCTTAGCTCTAATTCGCGTGATATTAAAGTCATGTATATTGCTTCCAGTAAGGTTTCGCACCTTACCCGGCTAATTAACGGTACTAACGATTACCACGAAATCCAATGGTAAGCCCATAAAACAACTTGCTACATTTTTAAATGTATTCTAATTAAATTTCTTGATCTTCTGCGAATAGTGGTTTTCTACCACTTTTAGGTTGTTATAATTGATTTTTTCATATGGTCAAATGTTGTAGTTTTAGGAATTGAAGAAATTTTTGCTGCTTTACCGAAAGTTAACTTTTTCTTCCTAATATCTTCTACAGCTTTTTGTAAACTCTCTAACACGTGGAATTTTGACTGTTGACCCTTGAGGTAGCGATGAATTTGTAGAAAAACGAACGAGTAACACTTCAATTAACTGTAGTATTTACAAGTGAACTTGAACTATTACAAATTAACAATAACTATTGCGACTGACGCGAGAGACTGAATGTTTCATTAAGGGAGAGGTTCTCCATTATTTAGATGTACAGATGTTGCCGACAGCGAAACGAACGTACAAAAAGGTAGCAGGCAAAGGAAGATTCATAAACCCAATCAAGACAACTAAGTTTTGTAACAATATCGTGTTTGGTGTCATTTTAATCAGGAAAATCTCACCAATATTGTAATGAAATTTTTATTAACGGAAAATTGAAAATAACAAACTTTTGTAGTTTTGTTAGTGTTGTCTCACTGATATGCCGCCACGGAATGCGATAAGGAGATGCCGCGGCCCTGTCACATTAGTCGCTTGCCTGATTCAAGGGTGGTCCCCCCCTCGTGGTGGGGATAGACTATGAACAGTTAACGTGTAGATTGCAACGAACTCTTACAGTCTTTACTGTACATAATAATGTAAAATACAATATATGTTAGGATCGTCTCTCGACCCAGAATATTGCACAATGGTGCCGTCTAATGTAAATTCTCCATCTTTCAAAGGATCACCTAAATTGATCGACTTAGGTCTGAGTAATAATGAAACAGTGGTTGTGCTAATAATGATTCTATACATGAAACTCCGACTGGCTTGTGTTTCGAGATTTGGATAGCAATCGTTTTGACCGTGTCGTAAACCTTTCTAACTTAATTAAATGACTCTAACAAATTCATTTACAATCCAAAGAACTTAGCTATGACTCTAACACTATATAAAATACATAAATAACAAAAATACAAAAATCATTTTCTGTCGAAAGGAAACTGATATGTTGTTTTTTCAGCAGTGAAAGGGCCTGTAAAAAGGTTGTCATCAACTTTTATTTCCAAAAACCTGTCTTTTCTTAATGGACTAAGGTATAAATTATTAGAATTTTTATAACACTAAAAAATTATTATTCTTACTTTTTTATTAATAATTAATTTTTTGGGTAAACTTATTTTCTGTTTTTCTTTACTTTTATTTGATAGAAGCTAGTCTTATCTTCTTATTCACTTGTCAAAGATGGCTTTTCTTTATCTATGGTGTTTCATTCTCCAGAATTCTTTTCATTGCTTCTCCCATTATTAACACCGCTTGATTATTGTTTGCATATCTCTTTATAATGTCTTCGAGCATGCTCAAATCTTTTTTCTTCTTTTCTATCAAACTTAATGCTGGTTCGTTTGATTCTTCTGCTTCTATCGCTTCATCTTCTCCTTCTTCACCTTCTCCTTCGCCTTCATCTTCTATTTCTATTTTTATGTCCATGCTTTCTTCTTGTTCATCTTCTTCACCTTCTTTGTTAATCGTTTCTTCACGATCCAAATGACTTAATATTTCCATCCACTCTTCTGGATTGTTATCTTCGCCAGTTATGACGCGCATCATTCCACTCATTTCTGAATGTGTAGAGGTATTTAACACATTTGCTTCTTCTTCTTCTCCGCAATCCCTTGATAAAATTTTATTCCAGCCGTTTTTTATATTAGAGGATGTGATGCCCATCCATGATTCATAGACCAAATCAATGCATTCTTTTATATTATATTTTAAATAGAATTCTTCTACATTATTTTCGTACTGCAGAATGCGATGCAGTATCTTATGTCTGTACGTTGTTTTTAACTTAGCGGTTATGCCTTGGTCCATAGGTTGTACGAGGGACGTAGTGTTTGGTGGCAAATATACAATTTCAAAATCATCGTCATCCTCCTGCGATAAATTAGTTATCTTGTGACTTGAACAATTATCCAAAAGTAACATCACTTTTCCCACCGTTTCATTTTCTGATTGGTATTGCCGGACACTGGGTTTAAAATCCTCTTCATACCACTCGTTAAAAATGTCTGTATTCATGCACGCTTGCCGCTGAGATTTATAGACGACAGGCAGTTCTACGCAATTTTTGAGTGCTTGTGGATTTTTAAATTTATGCACGAAAATTGGCAGGAGCTTGTGGGTTCCATCCGCATTAGAACATAATCCAATGGACACTCTATCTTTCTTTAACTTCTTTTCTGCCAATGTTCCTCTTTCCTCGCTTAGTAAACTTTTTGAAGGAACAGTTTTCCACAGCAAACCCGTTTCGCCCATATTATAAATATGACATAAATTAATGTCCTCTTCTTTGATGCGTTTTGTGAAAGCATCTATGAATATTTTTGCACCTTTGTCGCCTGCGCTTGCTTTCTCTTCATGAGCCCGGACTGGGTGAATTGTATATCGCTTCTTAAAATTGCGCAACCAACCTCTGCTTCCAGCGAATGATGTTGATCCGTATTCACTAAAAAGTTCGATTGCCTTCTCTTGTAATAATAAATCAGTTAATGGATTCCCCATTGCTCGTTGTTCCAGGTACCATCTATATAAACGATTTTCTAAATCTTCGTTCGAAGATCGTCTTCGATTTTTATGCTGTAATACATGACCTCCTCGGTTCCCAAAACTTAATAAGAGGCTACACTCTCGACGAATACGATGTATGACATCTTGCGAAACTCCATACTGGCGAGATAACAATTTAGCTGATGCTCCTTTTTCTAATTTTTCAGCAATTGTCATTTTTTGTTGCACCGAGAGGAAAACTCTTTTCTTACTTGGGTTTTCTGCCATGATTAAATAAAACACTGCATTTTACAACTTTAATTATTCACACTGTCTAAACTGAAAGACTGACCAAACTTGGAATAGTATAAATTGTATGCACCGATTCATGTAAAAACACTTTGGTTTTTTTAAAGCAGCAATGACGTGTCCGCGTCGTGATCCGAAATAAGCAACGGTTTTGCGGTTCGAAGATGGCAACCCGCTATCCCCTCTTCTTTACTTGAAGTCGCCCGCAGAGTGAGAGATCCGAGAAAGAGTGAGAGGTCCGTGAAAGAGAGAAGCCATAAATCTTAACAGTCGAACGAACAGTGACGTCGTTTGGTAGAAGAAAAATAGAATATGTATAATGCTTTCTCACTCGTTCTCCGTGTTCTCTCATTTCGTTTGGAAACAAAATTAAACCGAATAGTACAGTAGTGCATACATAAGTGTCCGCATCTTTGCACACTTAAGCGTCCGTTGCTATCTCCACCAATTCTTGAAAATGGGACATCGGAGTGGAGCTCGAGCCTGCCAAGTGAAACAAAGTAATTCGAAATCGACTCCTGAATGCGAACAACTGACACTTGACATATCGGTATCCCACTCAGGCACATCTTCTCTCTTTTCTTTAGTTAAATTCGCAGAAGTCACCTCCCCACTTGGCCCCGACTGCGGACGCTTATGTCTGCACTACTGTATATCTGATCTATAATAAGCAACTGGCTGATTCCGAGCGTGTTGCTTATTTCGGATCAATACAGTATCTTGAGCCCCTCGATCGTTTTTCATATTCTCTCTGATCCCGTTCGAGAACAAAATCAAGACGAATAACATACTAGTGATGGGGAATTTAGTTATTTTCGAATATCGGTAGTTACTGGTAACTAACTAGTTACTTAAGTTGATCGTAAGTAACTAAAGGAACTAGTTACTCTAGTTACTCGAAAATAACTGGAACAAATTACTTTACAACTTTTATTTACTACAAAATAAAAAATTCAACAAAATGAAATACTTGATTCCCAAGTTATAATCACAGTTAAATAAAACTGCTTATTGCCCAAGTAAAAATAACAAAAAAATTCATAAAAATGAGGTAATATGAGCACATATTGTATAGGAAATGTTAATTACCATTTAAAAAAATTATTCCTTTGACGTTTTTCGGGTCGAGTGTTCTTTTTTGATTCAAAATTAGTTCTGCTTTGAAGAAAAGTCGCTCACCTGCAATCAACGCTTGCACCGATAGATATTTTTTCACCAAAGTAGCCAAGTGAGGGTAAACGTTTTTTCTGTCTTTCCAGAAATCCAGAGGATTGCCAGTTCTTATCATAGTTTCTTCTTTAATATACTGTTGAAACTCTATAATGGAAGTTGAAGCGTTGGTAGTCATTGAAGATCTTTGTTCTATTCGCTTGTTAAATTCTTCCTATACTCTAGATTTTCCAAGTCCTGTAATGGATTTAATGTACTTGCTTACCTTTTCTTGGGATTTCTTAAATCTTGGGTCAAGAAAAGTTGCTTTTGCTGTCCAGCTGTACTCTGTATCTTTGAATCTGTTTTTAAGTTTGTCGCATAGTTTTATCATTAAATTTTAGCACCTTTTGTTTTTACAGATATTCTAACTCTGTCTAAGTTGCTTTTCAGACTTTTTATAAGAATAACAATTTTTGAAACTGACACATATTTCTCAGTGCTCAGCTCTTTAGTGACTTGCTTAAATGGTTTCAAAATTGATGTATTTTTTTAAAACAGACCACTTATCCTCAATAGACTTTTTACTAGCTGATTTAATAAAGCTATTGAAGCTATTAATGATTCTTCTGAGGCACAAAATCTTTCTCAAAAATGACTCTCAAATATTTAACTGGAAAAATTTTTTGTCTGACAGAACATAATCTGGTTTACTAAATCACATAAAATTTTTCATATCAGAATATTCAATAATACTGAAAGGTTGTAAGTCCTTTACAATCAAGTTGAAGATTTTGTAATGAAGTGTTTGTCCATGTGTACTATTCAAAGCACTAGGTCTAAAAAAGTTGGTTATTTCATCTTCTGGTAGAACATTTCTGCACATTCCTCATTATTATTTTTATCCGGTTACTCTTGTATGTTCTCCTCTGCTATCGCGTATTAGGTATTCTACATTTCACAAACGAAATAAAAAGGTATTTAATAAAAACTCCAGCTGAAAAGTGGTATGATAGCTCACCTAGCCTATTTGACTGAGAAACAGATTCTTTTCTCTAACTGCTCTATCACACCAACCAATGAACAAAACAGTCCTATTTTTCTGAATAACTAGATAGTTACTTTTTTGAAAGTAACTGTAACTAGTTAGCTATAATTAGTTAGTTACTTTTTCGCTATCTCTATAGTATACCCGATCCGTAATAAGCAACTTCCAATTTTGGCATACGGCTGGAACGAAAAATTTTTTTACAGCATGATTTTACGCATCCTAAGGAACGAAAAATGTAATTGTCATTTTTCCCGGAAATGATGGGAAAGTTATGAAAAATGCGGTTCAAGGTAAGAGTATGACCATACTTATAACTTATATTTCGTCTCGTTTTCTTCGGACGATGGTCTGTTCGTAAATTAACCACTTAGAAAC